GGATTCCGGCTATATCAAACATAAAGATTTTAAAAATTAAAATATGCCAGGATGCTTGCTCCTGGATTGCTATACAGCCATCTATGCTGGAGGTGCACGTGTGAGAATAAGATCTGACTCAGATGCGATGCCTTCACAGTTGAAAGTGATTAGCAAGACTCAAGCATGAATCATTTGCCATGTGATGAGATGCCAGAGAGCACCTGTCACCTACAGACCTGAACTTCCTCCTCACCATCCCTTCAGAGTAAAACTAAGTCAATGTGGAATGTTTAAAATAGATATATACTGTAGTTACTTTGGAGACAGATATATTAAGTCATATGAAGAAAATGCAGAGATGGCATTAAAAGATTTGCTGTGACCTTATCAACTGGTCTGATAGGCTCGATGGAGTGAATGCTATGCTTCTGTTCCTATGTTATTTAATACCTTCAGGTGGAGAGAAAAAACTGGTGGAGAGGCACTGACGAGGAAAAACGAGAATAGTTGTCAATATGTCTGACAACTATAGTAAACAGCACAGGACTGCAGCTTACCACAAGCTTTTCACTGAACTAACTGATGGGTGTTTAACTAATTCCTGGATTTTTGAGAATTCAGATTACCCCCAAAAGAGTTACAGTACAGCAGACTCCAGTGTCTCAGAATAGTAGGCTCCCTGATTAGAATATTCATTTAGTTCATTAGAATATCCCTCTGTCCTGCATATGGTCTGATATGATGGCAGAATGTAAATGCCATTGTTAGCTGTGAGAAACATCAACGTGCATTTCCGCTCTGAGGTCATCTGCTCTCAATGTGTGTGTTGGGGGTGGGGGAGAGAGAGACGTGCCTGTTCTACATTAGCAGTAAGAGACAGGAAATACAGATAAGGCAGGAAACAGAATTGAAGTCTATCAGAAACTTTGTGAGTGCTTTGAAATGTTCTTGATGTAACAGACACTGCATCAGCTTCAAGCATTATTATTATACCATATTATTTCCTTGCTTACTGTTGCTCCATTTATAAATATTTGTCTCTAAGAACTTCATTCACTTTTTTGCTCTATTGACTGAAAACAATCCTTGCTGTAGCGGCCCACAGAAGCTACAAAATTGAGCCTCCTAAAGCATTTGGCACTTCAGCTGACATAGAAAACAAATTTATTTAATGGAGGAGGAACGATGAAATCGAAGGCGAACAGAGGGCAAAGACACTATTTTAATCAGTATTAGCAATTAACCAGCAATTAGCACCTTCTTCTGTAAGGTTATAAACTCATCTGCTAGTTACCTTTCTGTGTCACTATCAAAACAGTTGTTGCTGCTCTAAGGACATTCTTTCTCCTGTTAGGCAGTTCAACAGGGTGCAGCCAGAAACAACTGTAACAAGATCAAATTTAACATTACTTTGGTAGTTGCTGAGAGAATAAAAAGACTTGGTTTTCCAGGAAATGACCAAGTTCCCACAGCTTCAGGTACACTCTAATGTCCAACAACATGAGTTGTTGTTAGGAGCTATCTTTGGCCAGAGTTCCAAGTGACAATATGAATATAGGAACAGGAGGGGGCCATTCAGCACCTGAGCCTGTTCCACCACTTTATTAAATCATGGCAGATCTTTTAAACCCATTTCCCCATCTTCTCTCCATATGCCAAAATGTTTTTGCTTGCCGAGTACAGTATTATTCTACCTTCCTTTTAAACAACCCGAGCATTGTTGCATATATAAGCCTTTAAGAGCAATGCATTCCATATTCTCACATTGTGTAATTTTTTTTCTCTAATTTCACTTTGAACCAGTTTCACTCTTAATTTTAAAACTTTGCCACTTTGGATCCCTGTATATATTGTTCAGAGTCCTGACAGAAGCTATATCCTATTGTGTGCAATGCTTTAATTTGGTTAATATCAGTTTCCCAAATGTTATCTGGCTAGGAGGGCTAAAGCTTCCCAGGCAGATACTAGCTTGTACGTCACCATATTTTGTCCAGAAAATTCCACTTGACGCTAAATGTTGATCTTTAGACATCATCTGCATAGATATCTCCTTAACCCTGGNAAAAATGTACTCAGCTAAAATTCTTAGGATGCAAGGAAGACAGCTCTGCAGTATAATCATTTGACAGAGAACAAATTCTTACAACTGGTTATGACTTTCATGTCTTATCCGAGTGCAGATGCAGAGCAAGTGATACTGCAAAATCATAGAATCATACAGCACAGAAGGAGGCCATTCAGCCCACTGTCTGTGCTGGCTCTTTGAAAAGAGCTATCCAAATCAATCCCGCTCCCCCACTCTCTGCCCAATCCCCTGAAAATGCCCTCCCCAAATAATTATCTACTTCTCTTAAAAGTTTTTATCGAATCGGCTTCCACCACATTTTAAGGCCATGCATTCCAGATCCGAACAACTCGCTGTGTGAAAATATTTCTCACCTCCCGTTTCTTTTAACAATTTTTTTTAAAAATCAGTGTTCTCGGGTTACCAACCCACCCACCAGTGGAAATAGTTTCCCCTTGTTCACCCTATCAAATCCCCTCATAATTTTGAAAACTTCTATTAAGTCTCCTCTTAATCTTTTCTGCTCCAAGAAGAATAATCCTAGCTTCTCTGGCCTCTCCTGATAACCGAAGTCCCTCATTCCTGGTACCATCCTGGTAAATCTCCTTTGCACCCTCTCCAATGCCTTGACATCCTTCCTAAAGTGTGGGGCCCAAAACTGAACACAGTACTCTAACTGAGGCCTAACCAGTGTTTTATAAAATTCATCATAACTTCCTGACTTTTGTATTCTATACCCCTATTTATAAAGTCTAGTGTTCCATATACTTTTTTAACAACTTTATCTACCTGTCCTGCCACCTTCAAAGATTTACTTATACAAAAGTTTTAAAAAACCTTAAATATCAGAATCTGCATTTCTCCCCAACGTACATGACTGCTGAATTAAAAAAAATTGTAACAGTTTCTGTAATTTTCCACATCCTGCATCTAATAGTTATCATTTTGTTGTAAAAAAAACATTTTGAAAAGATCGCACCATTGGGCAGCAGTTTACAGCACAATTGGGCTGTAGATTATTGCGTTGTTTTGCAGGGCCGACAAATCGTCGGTGACACTGTAGATAGTAAGCAAAGCAAATATTTACTCTTACCTGATAAATAAGCAGTCTGATTCTGGCTGTAGCTGTTTGCTGTGGCAAATGAAGTCAGATTACATTCTTTGTCACTATATATTGCTTGAGTTGATACTGACATAACCCAGATTCTTTTCAAGGCCAGATCTCATATCTCTTCCCGATGGAAAATCCAAGTCAATATAAACAGATCCTTGTGACCTACATCTTCACTCACATTCCACTCATACCATTCACCAAATTCCACACTGCCATTCACATTCCACACTGCCGTGCAGTGAGGTTTTTAAAAGAACGACTTGCACATGCAACGCTACTCTATTTGATCTGGTGTATAAAAATGCATACTCTTCCCTTTAAATAAAGCTGTGAAACTGGCAAGCAAAGCTATAGAACTGCTGTAGATTTCCTCAATTCACCTGTTCTGGATCTCGATTATAGCAATGGAACCTCATCATTAACATAGATTTAGAGGTTGCAATTATTCCCGGGAATAAGTTCAAAACTGGACTCGACTCAAGAAAACTACCTTTCAAATCCAATTTTAGGGTCATGTTTTGACTTTATTAATCTCAATGAGAATGCCCAACTTTCAATCACGCATTTGTGTCACCTAAAATGCGAAAAAATCTTTTCCATTACCCACAAACAAAAACATACAATAAAAGGCTATTCAAATCGCTCATTGGAGTAAAATTAGCAGGAGTCCAAAGATTCCTAAACTTTTTATGATACATTTGGAATACAAGCACGTGAACGAATGTGTTTGTGAATCACTAATGTTACTGTTGCGGTTAAGTGTTCGATTACGCAATACAAACATGCAGACAAAGTTTCTCAGTCTAGTGAGAAATATGCAGATGCTCTGCCAAGCTCCACTTCCCATATAAAAATCAATGGAAATGAAGCTTTCAGATCATTTCCTGCCGGTGTTCAACAAACCACAGGCACGAAAAAGAAAAAAGGACTAGTGTACTAAATTCAGATGAAGCATTGCATAAAGTGTAACAAATGCACCAAGCAGCAAAATGCAACTCATCAACATAGCAAACTTGACCTCCTGTTTAATAGTCTTCTTAGGTTGCTTGGTCACCATAATTGAGCCACTGTGTAATCATACTATTGTCTTACCCTCTGCTTCAAATCCTGCCTTCGGTACAATTATCTCTGCAACGTTGCATAGCAATCTCAATTTAACATCTTAAACCTTCATCCAATGCCTGCTTTAGTTAATCTGAGACAAGATTTCTCCAATGCTCTCACTGCCAGCTTCTTTGGCTCCACCCTCCATAAGCTCCAGTTCATACAAAAAAACCCAGAACCTATATTTACTTTTGCACCAGGCTCCACACAATACCCACATCCTTTCCAAGCTCAACGTTTTCCCCAGTAGATCTTCATCATGAAATTCCTTCATCCTCTCACCGTCTTGCCCATCCCCATTTTTGCTATCTCTTCTAACCATATTGTCCCACCTATGCCCTTTGTTTTTGTCTCCAGTTACTGCTTGTTCCTCAACCTCTTCCTCCCACCATTGATGGCCAAACCTTCACACAATGTCCTTACTCTCTGGAAGTCTCAAAACAATCCCTTTATCGGGACCTTTTCTCCCAGTATTCAAAGAAATCTTAAAAGTATCTCTGATTACACCTTTGGTCAAAGCCCTCAAAATACCCTCTCTTCTCCCCTTCCCCACACTCCCAATCATCTATGTGAAGTGCTTTGAGATGTTTTCACCCAATGTGAAAAGGTTTATAAGTGCAAATTACTGTAGAAAAATGAGGCCTTGAAGGCAACTGCAATCCTGATTTATACCTCCACAAATATACCAGTAGTTCTCACACTGGTCAAGAAAAGGGCACATTGTACCAGATAACATTTACATCATCACAACATTGTTTATTATGTGACTCTGTACAATACAAACAAAAATACAGAGATGGGTAACATGTATACAGCTAAATGTGACTTTTTTCCAGAGCCACAATTCCCATTTCTAGTAAGGAGATATAAGCTTGACTGCATGTAGCTGGAGAGAGGTGCATAAATGTCTCCAGGGCTTAATGTAACGCAGTACTATAGTCAAGCTACAATAAAATGCAAGAGAGAAAAAGGTTGTTAACCTCCATTATTTCCTAACATACAAAAGCTTTGCTTTTTTTCATTTTTTCAGCTTTTTGCTAGGCAATGTATGATGAAATATCTAAATTAAATGTTACAATAAATGAAGCAGTTACAAAAGGATAAATGTGTAGCTAGAGATTTTAATTACTTAATGAAGATACCATATTGCGAGATGAATTCAAGACAACACATTATGTAAATGTCGGACTTTCCTCACGAGCCTATTGAGTTTAAATATTTCTTTGTTTTGGGGACAGAAAACATTGAAAGGTGAAAGAATAACCTGTGTTGTCCCAGAGCCAAACTGTGTTAGACAAGACTGCGTTATAGCCAAATTGCATGAGGTTTGTGTGTTATTTTTGAAAAAGCGGAGCAAAGTTTCAACAATGTATAGCGGCGTTTCTTATAAACATCTTTCGAAGTCCCCATATCAATGGAAGATCAGACAATATTCTGTAAACAATCAAACACCAGAACATGATTGTATGAAGGGTAACATTTATCGGCATAAAAAGTGGGGCATCAATTTAAAAAATTTCAGATGCTTTTTATCTCTACATAACAATACACCCTAGACAATGCAAGACATTTCTAGCTTCCTATACCAGAGATTACAAATGGAAATTAATGTACAAACATAGTATTAAGTTGGCCATTTCACATGCTAATACATTAACATTATAGAGATAATAGGTGCAAAGTTGGTTGAATCCTTTCAAAAAAAATTATGTCCAGAGCTGGCATATTGGCAAGAAGTACATCATTATTTGGTGGTTTTTAAACACTTTAAAAGATCTTCCCTTTCTTCTTGTTCTTTTCCAAGGTCCTTTAGAAAAAAAACACAAGATTCGTATTTCAGAACGGTTTGACATCAGAAAAGTTAACTGTTTGAATGTTATGATTAAAACGCATTAAATGGATTTTTGAAGCTCTCCTGATGGATCTGTGATAAATGCAACTCTGGGATTTCCAAGTCCTGATTCTTAGAGTTAGCTGATTTTCGCCAGAATGGGGAAGTTCCCTAAAGTTCTTGCTCATTTGTTTCAGTGTTTTCCGACAGACCTGTGAATATTGGACAAGGGCTCGATCACTCCGGAGATGTCCTCTGTCTAACATTTAATGTCTGCGCTCACACATGAAAAATAGTTACAACTAGAGATAACAGAAGGTACTGTCTTTGAATCTATATTCCAGTCTCCAAAAGAGGAGAGAAAAAGAGTTAATAATCACTTGATTCTTTGCTACACTGCAGATAGGAACTTGGAACTTCATTGCTGCATCAGAAGTTATTTCTCACGCACAAATCCAACAGTCTACCTCTGATTTGGCCAGTAAAGGATGCATTATCATATCTGTGGAGTCCTGTAGCTCAGTGGTTGAGCACTCGCTTTGCAAGCTAGAGACCTGAGTTCAATTCCAGGCAGGGCGAAACCTTGGACAAGTTTCCTTACTCCACACGCCTAATAATAATCCCTCCAAAACCAAAAACAATAATAAATTGGTCATTTTCAATCCACGACTGTTTGTGGGACATTGCTGTGCGCAATTGGCTGCCGCGTTCGCCACAAATATACAGTCAATTCACTTTACATTGTGTTCTGTGAAGCGCTTTGGGACGTCCTCCCGACGTGAAAAGCGCTATATCAAATGCAAGGATTATTATTATTATTATGTTTGATTTAATGTATTGGTCAGACATAACAATCACAAATACTAGAGCAGATTTTCCAATTGATTTCGGGATTCCTAGCGTGCTGCACAAGAACTACTATCCTCTGGTCAGGTTGCACCTACAGTACTGTGAACAGTTCTGGTCACTGTGCACTTGACGCAGTGTAGAAAAATGCACAGCAAAGAAGGAACTATTGAGGAATGGCTAAATAAGCTGGGGCTCTTCAACCTCATAAACTTTCACTGCTCAGAGAATATCACTATTCAGGCCAATTGCCAGTCTGTTGCATTTCAATGGAATTTACAATGATTAAACCCCCAAACTGAATAATGAGAGCACTTAAATCAGAGAAAGATGGTACAATTTCAGGATTTTGAAGAAAAACTTTTCAGACAGACAACAGGAAATACTTCTTTACGCGGTGCAGTTGAACGGAATGGGTTATCCGGAAGGGTGGCAGAGGTCAGAACATTGGACTCATCACAAAAAAAGCTCCATGCTGTAATGGAAGAGTTGATATTTTGGAAGGATGAGAACAAAATGGGCCGAAGGGCTATCTTCATCCAATCTTCCCGTGATCCAACTTAGTTGAGACTTGGGGCAGAAACGAGTCAGATTATCCGACAGTTTATTGATAAAAATTTCAGATTTATGAATCAGGCAATTTTCAGTGTTTAAATGAACACAAAAATCCAATTTAATCCATAATTGCACTGTCTGTAAAACTGCTCACATATGTAAACAGACCACAAAAAGAGGCCATCTGGGCAGTACAGCCAATAGTATCCAAAATTGTGAGGGAGATGGACTTAAACACATTCCCACAGAATACATCTGCAAGATTTAATCTGCAATAAAACATTCATTTTTGGATGAAAGAAGATGTGGAGCATTACCTGGTAGAATCCAGTTTTTGTTGTTCCAGAATGCGCTGCTGAGCCTCCCAGTTTTGCTTCTCATCTTCAAATTGGCGACGTTTTTCCTCCAGTTCTTTATGCTGTGCCTCCAAGTTCTTCTTCATTTGTTCATGGCGTCGCTGGAGCTGGAAAGCACAACCAATTGTCAAACTAGGCTCAATTTCCTTTTTCTGGTACAACAAAAGTAGTAGATTTAATTCGGCCAGAAGATTTGCACGCACCAAATCTTCAGATTATTATACAGAGCTATTTTAAGACTATGCAACATTAAAGAAACAACACATTTCATCTGAGGATCTATAGAGAAGCATTACTGGGATCACAAAAGCATGTTTGTGAACAAAAGGTAGACACAAGATGGAGCGAATGGAAGACTGCAAAATTCTATCCAGTGACTGGTGTGGGTGCTTGGCGTCGGTTGGATGGTGCATACTCAGATGCTGCACAGAGGCACCTGGTCTAACAAAGGGCCATGCTGTGGCCATTACTAATGAATTCTTTAAAATAAATCACTGATTTATTTATGTCAGTTGACTTCAATGGATTGAAGTTTTACTTACCCGACACTGCTCATGTTGTTTATTCCTACCGCTTTGCACCGATGAGAAGCACAGATTTCTTTTTTTAAGTGAACTCAGCAAAATCTGTGGTTCTCATCCACTGGTGCAGACGTAAGAATAAACAACACTGAGCAGACATCAGTAAACCATCAATATGATACAAACCTCTCATAATTGCATTGAAGTACATGAATTAAGTTCATTGGTCAATGTATAGGTTTCAGTGAAGTCAACAAAATAGCAAAAATCTTGATAATCATGAAATAACCGGTGTGTGATCATTGCAAAACAGAATTATCAAAATAAAAAATAAGATTATATTTACTGATACACTACAAAATGAATACAATGCATATTTTGCTCAGGGCAGCCTTATTAGAATCAGTTAATACATTCCATTCTTCAAATTAAGTACTGTAAAATGCTTACCTAACAATATAGACAAGAATTTGCACATATTGCTACTGTAAACAATTTGATCATATATATATATATAAAATATATAATTGGTGTCTTTTGCTACATTAGTATATCAGGAGAGAATATGGGCTGCAGAGTTCTGGATGATTTGAAGCCAGTATAAGGTAGAAATGGAGAGGACAGAAGCAGGATTTAGAGAAGGTGACAAATACATGAATAAGGGTTTCATCAGTGGTGGAGACAGAGGAAAGCTTAAAAGAGAGTTGAGAGTTCGAAACAACAGATTCAGCAAGATGGAAAAAGCAACCTGGGAGGTTGATGAGGTCAGTCCCTGAGTTGAGGAGGCGTAGAAATTAATCAAAACATACAGTCTCAGGGTTTGAGGAATCAGCCTGAGGAACACTACACATGACCATGCAAAGACAGAAGAAACTATAGGAGACCCTGTAAAGACACAGGGACAAGCAGGAATGAAACCAGGAAATATAGAGCCACAGAGTTGTAATAGGAAGGAGTGATCCTGCAGAAGGACGGAATGGTCAACAGTATCAAAAAGTGGTAGAGAGATTGAGGAGAAGATGCCTTGATCAGAAACAAGAGACAATGCAGTTTGTGACTTTGACCAAGTCTTAATTCTCTTAAGATTTGTACCAAATTTTCTGCACTAAAACAGAGGTCACTATTTTTTCCAGCCCAATGTTAGGCAATTTAGCTAAGATGCCAAGATCAAACATAGGAGCGAAGTATATATAAACACTTGCAATTCTAATTATGTATTCAAATGTTAGAAAACATTTGGAAGTTGAGTCAACCTTCAAAAGGCTAAAATGCATATTTTTACATTATTGAAAAAATTACCTCAGCTTCAGAATCCTTCAGTTTCTGAACCTTCTCCTTGACTTTCATCTCAAAGACTTGTTCCATTTCCATCTCCATCTTCTTCATCTTTGCCACATGCTCTCTTCGTTCTTCCTCCATCTGGGCCAGAGGACTTCTGCAGTCAGTCAAAGGGATTAAACCAAACGGTTAGATGGGCAGCGGACAGCAACACACAATAAATAGGCAAATAGGATTGATGCGATTTGTTGTTTGAAACAATTAGAGGAAATGTTTTTATTTTGTTGCTTCATTGTGCCTTTGTTGCTTCATTTGCACGAAATGATTTCTCCTAGATGGTCCCTCCACCTCTGTCAATTATGCAGATATATGGTTCCCAGGGGGGAAGGGGAGGGAGGGTTAAATTGTAATAATCCAATAACTTCACCAGTTGGGTCACCACAGAAAAATATAATATTAATCCTTGCATCTGATAAAGCACCTTATCACATCATCTCAAAACGCTTCACAGAATATACGGTAAAGTGAATTGACTATATTTGTGGTTCAAAGAATAACAATGGTGTGGAGTGTAAATGATTTTTTTAAAAAAAAAATTATGGTTATTACTTGTAAATATTATAATCACATCATTCCTATTAATGCCATGTGTCAAGACACTTGGGAGAAGGGAGGAAGAGAAAGAGAAAAGGCAATAGAGAACCAGCCACCAGAATCCTGAAGAAAGGGCCCAGCGGTCCTGACAAAGACTTCCCTATCAGGAGTAGCACTCCATGGGCAACAGTGGTGAATGAAAGAAATTGTTCTCGTTAGTTTTATCACATATTGATCACAGGGATGTCAACCTGATTTCCTTTGACTAATTCTTGTGGTTCCATTTCTCCTAGATCCCCATCACATGGTTGCAGTTATAAAATGGCTTAATTTCAGATGCATTGGTTACAGCAGTATCACCACCACCGTTTGTATCCCACTGCCTCCTTTGAATAAAAGGGAATAGAAAGAGAGGGGAAAAGAAATTCAGAAGAAAGTGCAGTACAGTGTACTGTCAGAAACAGGTTACAGGTTTGACCACGATCCTAAAAGGGCTTGCTGAGCTGTGAATAAGAGGAAAGCAAAGTATTTGAGAGCTTACACACAAGCACCCAGTGGATGGAATCTATTAATCCTTCCACCCAACCCTTGTGTAACATGAATGTTCCTTCAGAGAAAATATTCGTAGAAGAAGTATTTAACTGGCAGAACTTCGAATTGTTCCAAAAATAATTTACTTGCAACAAATGCATTGCTGGACTCAGAAATTAGATTTTTTCAATTTGGTTAGGTGTGCATAATAACTTTCTATGCAAACTGCTGAGTTAAACAAAAATAATACTTAAGTAGTTTGGAACTTGGGTCAAGTCTTCAATTTTATAATTTAGCTACAATTTATTTTTTGTCATTGGTTATAATAAAAAATATTTTTGGAACAAATGGATTGCTGCATTGGTACCATCTTGTATTGATGGTGCCAAATAAAATACCACCCGATCCCAGAAAGTAATGCTTTCGGGTCTTTCAGGTTGATGCAAACAAAAATTCTGGAAAGTTTTTCAAATAATTTAAACAACCACTTACATGCCTTCAACCGTGTCATATCTAAAAGAAAAACAAAGATACACAGACACTTAGGATGAGAACACAACCATGCATTAAATTACATGGAGACGTTTTAAAGATGAAATTTAAAAAATCTTTACAGGCAATTTTATTCAATGGAGCAAATACATAATTTAATTTTTTCAGTTCAAACATTCTCAGATTCCCCCTGTGATATGCAAGGTACCTGCCTGAAAGGTAGGTAATCCATCCTGTACCACACTGCTAAGAAATAATTCACACAGCCTGGGATCTTACTTAGCAAACAACTAGCTACTGCATTCCAAATTGTAAAAATCCTCTATACCTTTAATTTTACTATGGAAAATGCTTCCATCACATGTAATAAGATTTACTGACAGCAATGTTTCACTACAATAAAACAGGGAAAGCAGAATGATGGATAAATGGATCTGAAGATATTACAAACAGGCTACAGATTCTTCAGGGGGGTGGGGGGAGATAAATATTGACGGAAGTCTGACAGGTTAAAATAAAATATTCTATCTATCCTCTGCATTCCAATCTAAAGTACAATTTGGTTGTGTGATTATGAAAATACCTATTCCAACAATCAGTAATGTTTAGCAACAAAAGGATATTGGTATCTTACACATCACAGACATTCTGACAAGGTTTGTGTATTTTATCTCAAAATAAATTGGTACTCCAAATTGCATTACAAAGAATTTGATAATGTATCAATCTTTACTTAAAAAAAATTTCAACTTTAAAAAGACAGTATCTCTTGGTTACTGCACTACTGACATCCATTTGGGATCCACAAAATTACTACAAACCTTAATAATAATAATCCTTGCATTTGATTAATAGGGCCTTATCAAATTTCAAAGCCCTTCACAGAATATATTGCAAAGTGGATTGACTGTGTATTTTGTGGGAGAAATGCAGCAGCCAATTGCGCACAGCAGTGTCCCACAAGCAGTCATGGATTGAGCGACAATTTTTTTGGTGACTAAATCTTAAAAACATAACAGAATTCCAAGAACACTCATTTGTTTATATTAAGTTACCATTTGGAAGTTCTTACAAGTTATGTAACTTTAGAAATACTGTCTCCATACTCCATGTTTTTTAAATTGTGTACTTCCTTTACCCCACCTAAACAAAACACAATTCAAAGTATGGTCTTGAAACAACAAATCTCAGGTAGCAGCAATCAACCCACAAGAGCTAATGCATCCCAAAACAACAAACCAGCAATCCCAGGTATTTGATTTGTGAAACAATGCAAAAACGAAAACAGGCCATGCATATGTGCAGCTTGACAGAGAAGGCTAGTGTTTGCCAGTCATGCAATATAGGCCAAGTACTATGATGCTCCACTTGGGAGAGTTTCCAATTTGAACTCGGAGCTGCAAAGTGAAGGACAGGCAGTGCCAATAAGGAGAGGACAACTGAACGCTGACCTTATCGATAGTAATATGGCTACTCACAGAGGGCAGTGACCTAGCTGTACCTACCCCAGCTTGGCTGGGGAACAAGGAACACTAAAGGGAGAAACTGGTAATTAACTGGCAAGTAACACCAGCATCGAAACAAACTAAGGTGGGTTCTTTACAACCGTGGCTGAGAGTTTGACCAAATCCCAATTCTAACCCTAGATTGATCGAGTACGTTGAGTTCCACCTGCAACAGAAGAGCCAGATCTAATGGGCTTGCAAGAACATTTCATGATCTAATAGACAGCAAATTAACAGCAGCAATTGAATATATGGATCTAAGTCATCCTTCCCTTTTGTCTGAACAAAATACAACCAGTAAAATAATACACAAAAGCACAAATAAACCAGTTGTGGGATAGCTTCTTACGGTGCAGTTGGGTAATGTAAGAGGTAATGTATTGATTAGGAATGTTACCCAATTTTAGTTTTATTTCATTGTGTCCATGTTTTATAACCTGATGGCACCTGTTTCCATACTGTATCAAGGAGCATCAGCGAGGAAGGTGCTAATATCAATTTGAAATCATCATTTGTACTACTAGTAGTGAAATGAAAAGCATAGCATTTCAAACATACTAGGTTTTGCAGTAAATTGAAGGACTATTGGTACGCTTTTTTAAAAAATACTGTTGTTCATTTCACTGATACATACAGATCACCTTTGATAAATACTTGACATTTTGTGCAAAGGCACAATCACACGGTTAGCTGATGTATGATCATACAAGATCTGTCCAAAAAGAAGAAAGCACAAAAGAAAACTCTTACTTGGTCAATTGTCCTTTGTTTTTATTGTTATCAACTCCATTGTAGGTGACAGCTGCCAGTTTTCGGCTCCTGTAGTTCTCGTAATGGACATTATTGGTCACATCCTTCAGATCCTGCATGTGAGTTCTGTGAGGCAGAAAACACGTATCTTACATTATTAGCCACAGTTCATGGTTTCTCAGAACATTGGTATATCTGATTTGAAATACATTTTATAACATTTTTATTTTGTAGCCAACAGTATCAAGCATTTTCAGGTCACATCATATAGTCTTTACAACTTCAAGATGCTGCTCCCATGCATCTCACACTCCTCAAAGCCCAAGAAAACCAGTGCTCAATGGCAGTGATGTAGGTACATCACTAGAGCTCAGGATTTTTCCCACTTGGCTCCTCCTGATAATTTTGCAATTCAACATTGTTAACAGACAGGGTAGCCCAAATTGGCAAGCAATTAAGAGTACACTTTTAACTCCTGGTTATAAATTCTAACAGTACCCAAATGTACATTGAGGTTCTTACTTGGCTTCTGACAATCTGCTCCTGCAATAACCAAGTACAAGCAATCACAATGTGTACCTCGGGGAAGACATTGCACATTCCAGAACTGCCTCACCAATACTGTGAGTTTCTTTGAATTGAAATTGGAACCTCCAACATGGCAAAGGGTTAAGATGGGTGCCAGTAACTGCTAACCAAAGCAATTTCTTGAGTGTATATAAAAATATAAAAACTACTCAGATGTGAATAGTAAAGAAAGCACCTTGCAATGGTGCCGGAAGTAAAAACAATCTTGTGCCGTGACAAGAAAGTGTTGTGGTGCCCCATGAAATAGTTGAAGTACTAGTCATTTTGGTTTGTTAAAGAAAGCAAATGGCAAGCTTCCCCCTGTTAGGCTGTAGGTCTGGCATTTTAATTCTTCTAATGGTTCATACTTTGCCTCAAATAAATCCACACGCAGGTTAAGTGACACACTCAGATTTCACCACAGGATGATTGGGATATCCCATATAATAATATGGTGAAGTTGCTGCAATATAGATGACTGAAGCTTGGTTTAATAAGGGTGGCCATTCAAAATTGCTGGTTTTGCAATGTACAAATACCAATTTTTATATTTGTACTAAGTGTCATCAACTTATAACTATCTCAATCATACTTACTCGCTAAGCCACCCATACATCTTTCTGTCATGACTTCATCCTTCCTCCAACTCCCTCTTTGCCTCTCCCTCACCATAGAAAAGGATTTAAGTTTACACCCATTTGGATTTGAAAATATAAATGAAGCAAAATTAGAGGGCTGCAAGTATTCCGCACTTTGAGACGCCACTCTGCATGAAATATAAATGCAAGTTGTTTTTGTACATTCATCAAGCATTGAGTGCAATACAGAAATGCATTATTCACCCCAGAGCAATATTTCATCTGACAGTGATGAAAGATTTATGTTCAGATTTTTGGCAATGTACAATTGACATACAAATACAGCACAAACTGAACATCACTCACAAATGGTTCCAAATACAATTTTTTACCATGGGTTATACAGCACCTTTTCACATCAGGAGGACTTCTCAAAGAGCTTCACAGGATACAACATAAGGTGTAGTAACTATTTTGTAAGCAAATACCTATTAGGTAGAAGTGTTCTTCTTACCTGATCAACATGTTCCGTAGGATTGTGAAGTCACAGTGTTCACCATTTTCAACTGTAAAAGAAAATAAACGCAGAATTAGAAAAGAAATGTATCACTATACATAATGCAGACAGAGTTTACAATGCATGAATCAAGAGCAGACATTTTGCTGCAGTATCTCTGGCGCTCTGGGATGCTGCCCTGTGTGAGGGGCGTTATATAAATGCAAGTTGTTGCATCTTCTCAGAGGATTTTAAATGTAATACAAAAGCATGAATGGCCCAATATTTCCTTCATTTTTTTTCCTATTAAAAGCAGAAGATCGATTGAATGGTTAAGGCCCCAACTTGTGAAGCCCCAGATCAACTTGGACTAAAAGACAGATTTATTTTCTGTTCCGTTATACTCTTAGCTGGACAGTAGTTGGGATCCTCTGTTTAGGGGGCACACTGTGGATGTTGGGCGAGGATAGCACTCAGCTAAATTGTAACGTCCTACATGAATATTCTGTTGCCATTCAGAAAACAGGTATATACTTGGAGAAAAGATTTTTAATTTTAAACCGAGTACATTTAAGAACAATGAAATTCTGGTAATTCATGACAACAAATGAAAAATGTCCAACATCCACAATAATAACAAAATGACATTTACAGAGTGCCTTTTACGTCAGGAGGACATCCCAAAGCGCTGGACAGTCAGGGGTCAGGACCCGAGCATGGGGGAGGGCTGGGGTAGGGGTGAGGGAAGGCAGAGAGGTGGTAGGGCGAATGAAGGCACGATCGAAGACTAGGGTCTTGAGATTGGCCTTGAAAGAGGCAAGGGAGGAAGCAAGGCAAAGGGATTGTGGGATGGAGTTCCAGAGTGTGGGGGCATTTGTATAGCGCATTTCAAGTCAGAAGGATGTCCCAAAGTGCTGGATAGTATCTCAACAACTCTTAAAAATGCTTTGTGACACCATCCCAAAATAAAAGGTGATATATAAATGTAAATTGATCTGTATTTATATACTGATATATATTATACATATCCGCATAATGTTAGGAACCTAGGAGTCTTGTTCGACCCTCAACTGTTTTTCCTTTCCCACATCGAAGCCATGACCCGCTCTGCCTTCCCTCACCTCCGAAACATTGCCCGACTCCGCCACTATCTCACCCCTCAGGGCGCTGAAACTCTTGTTCATACCTTCATCACCTCCACGCTCGACTATGCAAATGCTTATATATACATAAAGTCTTTTCTCGCACCAAACTCCGTGACCCCATCTCTCCCATTCTCGCCCGATTCCATTGGCTCTCTATCCTTTAGAGAATCCAGTTCAAGATCCTGGTCCTCACCTACAAAGCCCTCCAAGGCCTCGCCCCACCCTACCTCTTTAACCTCCTAAACTCCTACCAACCCCCCCGCTCCTTCCGCTCAGCCAGCTCCAACCTGCTCCATATCCCACGACCCACCCGCCCCACCATCCCCCAATCGCTCCACCTCGCTCCCTCCTTAGCCTCCTTCAAGTCCCGCTTCAAAACCCTCCTCTTCGACCATGCCATTGGTCACCCTCCTTCCCCTCCCTGACCCCAGCTCGGATCTGAAATGCTGTACACTGATCAGCGCCTTGGGAAGTCCTCCCGACGTGAAAGGCGCCATACAAATGTAATCTTGTTGTTGTTACTCTAGCAGCCAGCATTTTGAGGGGAAGTTGTTTTGATGGGGATCGACAAATGGAGCGAATTCGTGCCCTTAAACAGAGGGAGGAGAAACTTGGTTATGATTTATACTCAAACTCTGGTGACTGCCTCATTGTTGGGATTTTCTGTGAAGCCTTCTGCAATCCAATAACCTGATTTGGGCAAGGTTGGCTGCCCTGCCCTTAAACAACACCTCAGCATGAATCACCATCTTGGGGGGTGCGGAGAGGAGAAAAGAAAATGCGCTTAAAAATGTCTTGTTTGTTTTAAGTCCCTCTCCACATCTTTAAAATCAATGACATTTTGGTCATTCATACACAAAATTCAGATAACTAACGCAGAGGAATGGAAATTGCCTCTGCAAAATAGTGCTGACAGAGGAAGCTCTGGAAAGGATTCAAAAAGCATATCCCCTTCAAAACGCAACCACATGTCATATTGCACAATGTATAAATTGCTTGTACTGCTGTCTGGATTATAAATCCGGCTCCGATACCTGATTCAGTTATATAAGGAGACAAGCACTCAGTAGGGAAACATAAGAAATAGAATAGAATAAATAAGTGAAGTATACAGATTCATGTAGATTCTATAAACAACGCATTTTCAATACGCTGTCAAGGATAGCAAGTCAGATACATTAAATCGCACAGAATACATTGGAAACTTTTTCAACCTTCAATTTTAGCACTCTAGAAGGCTCAATTCTAAACACAATTGGTGTCTTCATCGAAAGGGATGCTAACACAGTTTAAAAATAGTAGGTAGAAGGTATTTTGATGCCTACATAATTTTGAGATGAGAGGGGCTCAGAATGATAAATCATAGTTTATAACCTCAATTCACAATCAGACAATTCAGAATTCACAACCAGGATGCATTCACTAAATTCCCCAAACAGATCTGAAGAAAAATAACCCACACCTTTTTATTTCTGAAACATTAGTTGGACTCCAGATGGATTTTCCAGTACAATATTCTCTTTTCTCTTCATACCACCCTGTTCCAGGCTACCGGAAGAAGCTCACCTGACTCTTACTGAGTGCATCAGCAGTTAAAACAAATTAGAAACTCATTTCACACAGTGTTGCTGAAACATCTCACAAACATACTCAAATGTCAGGAGCCCTTTGTCAATCAACATTTTAAGTCTGAGCATAAACTACAAAGCTTCACTCTTACCTTCTACTTCCCTGTGGTTTCATACCATCTTTAATTAATTTTACCTCTAATCTGTATCATCTCTCTTTCAAAAAAATGTTTTCTTTGCCTTCCAGGCAACACCATTTTCAAGGTAAAACACACTCCAAAACTTCTGACCTCTGAATGAATTTTAAAAAATCTCTGCAGAGACCATTTTTCAGGCTAGATATGAACATTCACACGGCTGACTGTTCAAATGTTCCGGGATGCTACCTGTGTGAAGGGCACTATATAAATGCAAGTTGTTGTTGGCTGTGCCTGTGATTCAATTTCACAGTTCTCTGGGAGCACCACAGTCCAACAGAACCAAGATGAGATGTACAGCCTGTGCATTCTGAAGGCTGAAACAAAAACACCATTCACCAAATGCCTGAATAGAGATTTTGTGCTTCATTTTAAAATTCTTGAGTTTCCTTAGTTGAAATGCTAACATGCCCCTAAAATGTTCAACAAATTCTCACAAATCTATACAAAAAAATGAATGTTCTTGTGATAATATATGATAATATTTTTTCAATATGATAATGAAGCCCTAGCATTGGTTGATTGTTGCAATGTCGGGTTGCACCCCCACACCTAATAAGCCCCAAATAGCTAAAAGTCGTAGGTTAAAACAGAGAAACTACCGCAAAACATTCTTTAAATAAGTCAGAACTCAGATTTGAGTTGTGCCAAACTTGAAATTCCTTTTGTTGAACTAAAACAGTATTTTCTTAATCAAACTATATATATGGGTATTTCCCACATCCCTATTTCAAAGCTTAGATAGATATAAGCAATGGTGGCAGTGAGCACCAGCACAAATATCGATGTACATAACCAAACAAGAACCAGGAAACCAACCAGAGCCGTTTTCTAGATTTAAAATTCAAGATGAAGCAAAGTCAGAAACCACCAAAAGACCAGTGATTGAATTTTACAAGTTTATAAGGAATACTTGGAAGTGATCACAAGAATTTAATCAAGGAAATCACATGACGCTATAAATCACGAACAGTTAATATGGAGTCATTTCAATTCCAGCCCCTGACCCTAAACTGTTACACAACATCCATTTCAGTGTTCTGCCCCCTTCCGTAAAAGCAGCGAATCATACTGGAGTATAATTCCACGAGTACTGATAGCTCTCCAAAAAATGTTTCCTTGTGATGTGAAAGGCTCTGGTCACCCCAAATGTTATAATTTATAATATATTGCAGTGAACTACTGAAAATTAACAGAATAATGAGCACATTGTCTCTAGACTGAAACCACAATCCCGTTTAAAAATAAAAGCAGTTTTGTGTTCAACGCGCATCGTAAAATAGAAAACCTCAGCCAAAGAAATCTGCAATCTGTACTTTAAACATTTTGTGAAGTACAATACAAAATTACATGGAGGACGGCCCAAGGTGCTGGCCAGTCAGGGATTTGGACCCAAGCTGGGGGTCGGGATCGGGGAGGGTGGAAGGCAGGGAGGGCAGGAGGGTGGCCAAAGGTTCAGTAGAAAAGGAAAGTTTTGAGATGCATCTTGAAGGAGACAAGGGAGGGAGCAAGGCAAAGGGAATGTGGGATGGAGTTCAAAAGGGTGGGGGCAGAAAGGCTGAAGGCGTGACCACAGATGGTGGGGCAGACCGGCCGGGGGTGGTGGAGGAGGCCACAGCCTACTGAGCAGAGATTGATATGGAGTTAGCAAGTCGCAGAGGTAGGAAGGAGCAAGGCCATGGAGGGCCTTGAAAGAGAGGACAAGAATTTTGAATGCTATGCTCTGGGGGATGGGGAGCCAATGGAGCCGGGCGAGGGTGATGGGGTCACAGAGCCTGATGCAGGAGAGGACTCAAGCTGCAGAGTTCTGAATGATCTGCAGCTTGTGGAGGGACGAGTCATGAAGGCTGACTAGCAGGGAGTTGACATAGTTGAGCCTAGATGTGATGAATGTGGGATTAGGGTTTTGGCGGCCTAGGGGGTGAGGCAGTGGCGAGCCGGGCAATGTTGTACATGTGGGGCAACGCAGAACGGATCATGGGACTTATATTTTACTTTGTGTGAAGATAGAAAGAGCCAATGATTCACCCCATGACAGTTTATGGGAGTTTGCTGGCCTCCACATTTCCCTATTGATTGAATAATGTTTGTATGGTTCACAAAATAATTTGCTTTCAGATCCATTTGTTTAATGCACACATGTTAAGTCTAGTTTTTCCA